CGTGGACTTCAGTTACGTGAGGCGATTGAAGCGGGTCTTGTTGACACAAAGTCTGGACTAGTTCGTGATCCGTCTAGTGGCGAGGTGTTGACGTTGTCACAGGCTGTGAACAGTGGTCTTATATCGGGTGAGCGGTCGTTGGTTCGCGATCCTAGTTCCGGACGTCTCGAGAGTCTTGGTAGAATGATGTTGACAGGTTTGTTGGCGCCTGTAGGTTTGATTGCTCTGGCGATGGAGTCGACGTCCTCGAGACCAGGAGGTGTGGTGTGTGAGTCGACGAGTGCTTCGGAGCCAGTTGTAGATGTTGGTGTGGGCAGGTTGTCTGAGTTGAGATCTGTCGGTGGCACGGGTGATTCATTGTGTGTGGATGAGGTTGGTGCAAGTGTGGTGGACTTGAAGAGCGATCAATTGGAGTCAGTGACTCGTCCATCCGACTTGATGATGACCGATGTGAGAGTGGGTGAACGTGGTGAGATGAGTGTCGGTCGTGACGCGACACCAGTGCACAGAGGCGGTGATGAATCTGAGGGTGTTGTGTCATCAGAGACGATTTCTGAGTACGGTGTATCTGGTGTGGATGTGGATGACGTTGATGTGAAGAGGCGAGCGATGCAGACGAGTGAGGATGTTTTGTCGTCGAGTAGAGATGGTGTTGTGATGGGTGTGTGTTCGACGAGTGTATCCGAGTTGTTGTCGGACATGACAGAGAGACGAGGTGTGGACAGTGGTTTGGATTCGGACATGCTGTCGTCAGATGGTGTTAGGTATGGAGAAGTGTCTGTTGTGCCTGACCAGCGTGGACTTCAGTTACGTGAGGCGATTGAAGCGGGTCTTGTTGACACAAAGTCTGGACTAGTTCGTGATCCGTCTAGTGGCGAGGTGTTGACGTTGTCACAGGCTGTGAACAGTGGTCTTATATCGGGTGAGCGGTCGTTGATTCGCGATCCTAGTTCCGGACGTCTCGAGAGTCTTGGTAGAATGATGTTGACAGGTTTGTTGGCGCCTGTAGGTTTGATTGCTCTGGCGATGGAGTCGACGTCCTCGAGACCAGGAGGTGTGGTGTGTGAGTCGACGAGTGCTTCGGAGCCAGTTGTAGATGTTGGTGTGAGCAGGTTGTCTGAGTTGAGATCTGTCGGTGGCACGGGTGATTCATTGTGTGTGGATGAGGTTGGTGCAAGTGTGGTGGACTTGAAGAGCGATCAATTGGAGTCAGTGACTCGTCCATCCGACTTGATGATGACCGATGTGAGAGTGGGTGAACGTGGTGAGATGAGTGTCGGTCGTGACGCGACACCAGTGCACAGAGGCGGTGATGAATCTGAGGGTGTTGTGTCATCAGAGACGATTTCTGAGTACGGTGTATCTGGTGTGGATGTGGATGACGTTGATGTGAAGAGGCGAGCGATGCAGACGAGTGAGGATGTTTTGTCGTCGAGTAGAGATGGTGTTGTGATGGGTGTGTGTTCGACGAGTGTATCCGAGTTGTTGTCGGACATGACAGAGAGACGAGGTGTGGACAGTGGTTTGGATTCGGACATGCTGTCGTCAGATGGTGTTAGGTATGGAGAAGTGTCTGTTGTGCCTGATCAGCGTGGACTTCAGTTACGTGAGGCGATTGAAGCGGGTCTTGTTGACACAAAGTCTGGACTAGTTCGTGATCCGTCTAGTGGCGAGGTGTTGACGTTGTCACAGGCTGTGAACAGTGGTCTTATATCGGGTGAGCGGTCGTTGGTTCGCGATCCTAGTTCCGGACGTCTCGAGAGTCTTGGTAGAATGATGTTGACAGGTTTGTTGGCGCCTGTAGGTTTGATTGCTCTGGCGATGGAGTCGACGTCCTCGAGACCAGGAGGTGTGGTGTGTGAGTCGACGAGTGCTTCGGAGCCAGTTGTAGATGTTGGTGTGGGCAGGTTGTCTGAGTTGAGATCTGTCGGTGGCACGGGTGATTCATTGTGTGTGGATGAGGTTGGTGCAAGTGTGGTGGACTTGAAGAGCGATCAATTGGAGTCAGTGACTCGTCCATCCGACTTGATGATGACCGATGTGAGAGTGGGTGAACGTGGTGAGATGAGTGTCGGTCGTGACGCGACACCAGTGCACAGAGGCGGTGATGAATCTGAGGGTGTTGTGTCATCAGAGACGATTTCTGAGTACGGTGTATCTGGTGTGGATGTGGATGACGTTGATGTGAAGAGGCGAGCGATGCAGACGAGTGAGGATGTTTTGTCGTCGAGCAGAGATGGTGTTGTGATGGGTGTGTGTTCGACGAGTGTATCCGAGTTGTTGTCGGACATGACAGAGAGACGAGGTGTGGACAGTGGTTTGGATTCGGACATGCTGTCGTCAGATGGTGTTAGGTATGGAGAAGTGTCTGTTGTGCCTGACCAGCGTGGACTTCAGTTACGTGAGGCGATTGAAGCGGGTCTTGTTGACACAAAGTCTGGACTAGTTCGTGATCCGTCTAGTGGCGAGGTGTTGACGTTGTCACAGGCTGTGAACAGTGGTCTTATATCGGGTGAGCGGTCGTTGGTTCGCGATCCTAGTTCCGGACGTCTCGAGAGTCTTGGTAGAATGATGTTGACAGGTTTGTTGGCGCCTGTAGGTTTGATTGCTCTGGCGATGGAGTCGACGTCCTCGAGACCAGGAGGTGTGGTGTGTGAGTCGACGAGTGCTTCGGAGCCAGTTGTAGATGTTGGTGTGGGCAGGTTGTCTGAGTTGAGATCTGTCGGTGGCACGGGTGATTCATTGTGTGTGGATGAGGTTGGTGCAAGTGTGGTGGACTTGAAGAGCGATCAATTGGAGTCAGTGACTCGTCCATCCGACTTGATGATGACCGATGTGAGAGTGGGTGAACGTGGTGAGATGAGTGTCGGTCGTGACGCGACACCAGTGCACAGAGGCGGTGATGAATCTGAGGGTGTTGTGTCATCAGAGACGATTTCTGAGTACGGTGTATCTGGTGTGGATGTGGATGACGTTGATGTGAAGAGGCGAGCGATGCAGACGAGTGAGGATGTTTTGTCGTCGAGTAGAGATGGTGTTGTGATGGGTGTGTGTTCGACGAGTGTATCCGAGTTGTTGTCGGACATGACAGAGAGACGAGGTGTGGACAGTGGTTTGGATTCGGACATGCTGTCGTCAGATGGTGTTAGGTATGGAGAAGTGTCTGTTGTGCCTGATCAGCGTGGACTTCAGTTACGTGAGGCGATTGAAGCGGGTCTTGTTGACACAAAGTCTGGACTAGTTCGTGATCCGTCTAGTGGCGAGGTGTTGACGTTGTCACAGGCTGTGAACAGTGGTCTTATATCGGGTGAGCGGTCGTTGGTTCGCGATCCTAGTTCCGGACGTCTCGAGAGTCTTGGTAGAATGATGTTGACAGGTTTGTTGGCGCCTGTAGGTTTGATTGCTCTGGCGATGGAGTCGACGTCCTCGAGACCAGGAGGTGTGGTGTGTGAGTCGACGAGTGCTTCGGAGCCAGTTGTAGATGTTGGTGTGGGCAGGTTGTCTGAGTTGAGATCTGTCGGTGGCACGGGTGATTCATTGTGTGTGGATGAGGTTGGTGCAAGTGTGGTGGACTTGAAGAGCGATCAATTGGAGTCAGTGACTCGTCCATCCGACTTGATGATGACCGATGTGAGAGTGGGTGAACGTGGTGAGATGAGTGTCGGTCGTGACGCGACACCAGTGCACAGAGGCGGTGATGAATCTGAGGGTGTTGTGTCATCAGAGACGATTTCTGAGTACGGTGTATCTGGTGTGGATGTGGATGACGTTGATGTGAAGAGGCGAGCGATGCAGACGAGTGAGGATGTTTTGTCGTCGAGCAGAGATGGTGTTGTGATGGGTGTGTGTTCGACGAGTGTATCCGAGTTGTTGTCGGACATGACAGAGAGACGAGGTGTGGACAGTGGTTTGGATTCGGACATGCTGTCGTCAGATGGTGTTAGGTATGGAGAAGTGTCTGTTGTGCCTGACCAGCGTGGACTTCAGTTACGTGAGGCGATTGAAGCGGGTCTTGTTGACACAAAGTCTGGACTAGTTCGTGATCCGTCTAGTGGCGAGGTGTTGACGTTGTCACAGGCTGTGAACAGTGGTCTTATATCGGGTGAGCGGTCGTTGGTTCGCGATCCTAGTTCCGGACGTCTCGAGAGTCTTGGTAGAATGATGTTGACAGGTTTGTTGGCGCCTGTAGGTTTGATTGCTCTGGCGATGGAGTCGACGTCCTCGAGACCAGGAGGTGTGGTGTGTGAGTCGACGAGTGCTTCGGAGCCAGTTGTAGATGTTGGTGTGGGCAGGTTGTCTGAGTTGAGATCTGTCGGTGGCACGGGTGATTCATTGTGTGTGGATGAGGTTGGTGCAAGTGTGGTGGACTTGAAGAGCGATCAATTGGAGTCAGTGACTCGTCCATCCGACTTGATGATGACCGATGTGAGAGTGGGTGAACGTGGTGAGATGAGTGTCGGTCGTGACGCGACACCAGTGCACAGAGGCGGTGATGAATCTGAGGGTGTTGTGTCATCAGAGACGATTTCTGAGTACGGTGTATCTGGTGTGGATGTGGATGACGTTGATGTGAAGAGGCGAGCGATGCAGACGAGTGAGGATGTTTTGTCGTCGAGCAGAGATGGTGTTGTGATGGGTGTGTGTTCGACGAGTGTATCCGAGTTGTTGTCGGACATGACAGAGAGACGAGGTGTGGACAGTGGTTTGGATTCGGACATGCTGTCGTCAGATGGTGTTAGGTATGGAGAAGTGTCTGTTGTGCCTGACCAGCGTGGACTTCAGTTACGTGAGGCGATTGAAGCGGGTCTTGTTGACACAAAGTCTGGACTAGTTCGTGATCCGTCTAGTGGCGAGGTGTTGACGTTGTCACAGGCTGTGAACAGTGGTCTTATATCGGGTGAGCGGTCGTTGATTCGCGATCCTAGTTCCGGACGTCTCGAGAGTCTTGGTAGAATGATGTTGACAGGTTTGTTGGCGCCTGTAGGTTTGATTGCTCTGGCGATGGAGTCGACGTCCTCGAGACCAGGAGGTGTGGTGTGTGAGTCGACGAGTGCTTCGGAGCCAGTTGTAGATGTTGGTGTGGGCAGGTTGTCTGAGTTGAGATCTGTCGGTGGCACGGGTGATTCATTGTGTGTGGATGAGGTTGGTGCAAGTGTGGTGGACTTGAAGAGCGATCAATTGGAGTCAGTGACTCGTCCATCCGACTTGATGATGACCGATGTGAGAGTGGGTGAACGTGGTGAGATGAGTGTCGGTCGTGACGCGACACCAGTGCACAGAGGCGGTGATGAATCTGAGGGTGTTGTGTCATCAGAGACGATTTCTGAGTACGGTGTATCTGGTGTGGATGTGGATGACGTTGATGTGAAGAGGCGAGCGATGCAGACGAGTGAGGATGTTTTGTCGTCGAGTAGAGATGGTGTTGTGATGGGTGTGTGTTCGACGAGTGTATCCGAGTTGTTGTCGGACATGACAGAGAGACGAGGTGTGGACAGTGGTTTGGATTCGGACATGCTGTCGTCAGATGGTGTTAGGTATGGAGAAGTGTCTGTTGTGCCTGACCAGCGTGGACTTCAGTTACGTGAGGCGATTGAAGCGGGTCTTGTTGACACAAAGTCTGGACTAGTTCGTGATCCGTCTAGTGGCGAGGTGTTGACGTTGTCACAGGCTGTGAACAGTGGTCTTATATCGGGTGAGCGGTCGTTGGTTCGCGATCCTAGTTCCGGACGTCTCGAGAGTCTTGGTAGAGTGATGTTGACAGGTTTGTTGGCGCCTGTAGGTTTGATTGCTCTGGCGATGGAGTCGACGTCCTCGAGACCAGGAGGTGTGGTGTGTGAGTCGACGAGTGCTTCGGAGCCAGTTGTAGATGTTGGTGTGGGCAGGTTGTCTGAGTTGAGATCTGTCGGTGGCACGGGTGATTCATTGTGTGTGGATGAGGTTGGTGCAAGTGTAGTGGACTTGAAGAGCGATCAATTGGAGTCAGTGACTCGTCCATCCGACTTGATGATGACCGATGTGAGAGTGGGTGAACGTGGTGAGATGAGTGTCGGTCGTGACGCGACACCAGTGCACAGAGGCGGTGATGAATCTGAGGGTGTTGTGTCATCAGAGACGATTTCTGAGTACGGTGTATCTGGTGTGGATGTGGATGACGTTGATGTGAAGAGGCGAGCGATGCAGACGAGTGAGGATGTTTTGTCGTCGAGCAGAGATGGTGTTGTGATGGGTGTGTGTTCGACGAGTGTATCCGAGTTGTTGTCGGACATGACAGAGAGACGAGGTGTGGACAGTGGTTTGGATTCGGACATGCTGTCGTCAGATGGTGTTAGGTATGGAGAAGTGTCTGTTGTGCCTGACCAGCGTGGACTTCAGTTACGTGAGGCGATTGAAGCGGGTCTTGTTGACACAAAGTCTGGACTAGTTCGTGATCCGTCTAGTGGCGAGGTGTTGACGTTGTCACAGGCTGTGAACAGTGGTCTTATATCGGGTGAGCGGTCGTTGGTTCGCGATCCTAGTTCCGGACGTCTCGAGAGTCTTGGTAGAATGATGTTGACAGGTTTGTTGGCGCCTGTAGGTTTGATTGCTCTGGCGATGGAGTCGACGTCCTCGAGACCAGGAGGTGTGGTGTGTGAGTCGACGAGTGCTTCGGAGCCAGTTGTAGATGTTGGTGTGGGCAGGTTGTCTGAGTTGAGATCTGTCGGTGGCACGGGTGATTCATTGTGTGTGGATGAGGTTGGTGCAAGTGTGGTGGACTTGAAGAGCGATCAATTGGAGTCAGTGACTCGTCCATCCGACTTGATGATGACCGATGTGAGAGTGGGTGAACGTGGTGAGATGAGTGTCGGTCGTGACGCGACACCAGTGCACAGAGGCGGTGATGAATCTGAGGGTGTTGTGTCATCAGAGACGATTTCTGAGTACGGTGTATCTGGTGTGGATGTGGATGACGTTGATGTGAAGAGGCGAGCGATGCAGACGAGTGAGGATGTTTTGTCGTCGAGCAGAGATGGTGTTGTGATGGGTGTGTGTTCGACGAGTGTATCCGAGTTGTTGTCGGACATGACAGAGAGACGAGGTGTGGACAGTGGTTTGGATTCGGACATGCTGTCGTCAGATGGTGTTAGGTATGGAGAAGTGTCTGTTGTGCCTGACCAGCGTGGACTTCAGTTACGTGAGGCGATTGAAGCGGGTCTTGTTGACACAAAGTCTGGACTAGTTCGTGATCCGTCTAGTGGCGAGGTGTTGACGTTGTCACAGGCTGTGAACAGTGGTCTTATATCGAGTGAGCGGTCGTTGATTCGCGATCCTAGTTCCGGACGTCTCGAGAGTCTTGGTAGAATGATGTTGACAGGTTTGTTGGCGCCTGTAGGTTTGATTGCTCTGGCGATGGAGTCGACGTCCTCGAGACCAGGAGGTGTGGTGTGTGAGTCGACGAGTGCTTCGGAGCCAGTTCTAGATGTTGGTGTGGGCAGGTTGTCTGAGTTGAGATCTGTCGGTGGCACGGGTGATTCATTGTGTGTGGATGAGGTTGGTGCAAGTGTGGTGGACTTGAAGAGCGATCAATTGGAGTCAGTGACTCGTCCATCCGACTTGATGATGACCGATGTGAGAGTGGGTGAACGTGGTGAGATGAGTGTCGGTCGTGACGCGACACCAGTGCACAGAGGCGGTGATGAATCTGAGGGTGTTGTGTCATCAGAGACGATTTCTGAGTACGGTGTATCTGGTGTGGATGTGGATGACGTTGATGTGAAGAGGCGAGCGATGCAGACGAGTGAGGATGTTTTGTCGTCGAGCAGAGATGGTGTTGTGATGGGTGTGTGTTCGACGAGTGTATCCGAGTTGTTGTCGGACATGACAGAGAGACGAGGTGTGGACAGTGGTTTGGATTCGGACATGCTGTCGTCAGATGGTGTTAGGTATGGAGAAGTGTCTGTTGTGCCTGACCAGCGTGGACTTCAGTTACGTGAGGCGATTGAAGCGGGTCTTGTTGACACAAAGTCTGGACTAGTTCGTGATCCGTCTAGTGGCGAGGTGTTGACGTTGTCACAGGCTGTGAACAGTGGTCTTATATCGGGTGAGCGGTCGTTGATTCGCGATCCTAGTTCCGGACGTCTCGAGAGTCTTGGTAGAATGATGTTGACAGGTTTGTTGGCGCCTGTAGGTTTGATTGCTCTGGCGATGGAGTCGACGTCCTCGAGACCAGGAGGTGTGGTGTGTGAGTCGACGAGTGCTTCGGAGCCAGTTGTAGATGTTGGTGTGGGCAGGTTGTCTGAGTTGAGATCTGTCGGTGGCACGGGTGATTCATTGTGTGTGGATGAGGTTGGTGCAAGTGTGGTGGACTTGAAGAGCGATCATTTGGAGTCAGTGACTCGTCCATCCGACTTGATGATGACCGATGTGAGAGTGGGTGAACGTGGTGAGATGAGTGTCGGTCGTGACGCGACACCAGTGCACAGAGGCGGTGATGAATCTGAGGGTGTTGTGTCATCAGAGACGATTTCTGAGTACGGTGTATCTGGTGTGGATGTGGATGACGTTGATGTGAAGAGGCGAGCGATGCAGACGAGTGAGGATGTTTTGTCGTCGAGCAGAGATGGTGTTGTGATGGGTGTGTGTTCGACGAGTGTATCCGAGTTGTTGTCGGACATGACAGAGAGACGAGGTGTGGACAGTGGTTTGGATTCGGACATGCTGTCGTCAGATGGTGTTAGGTATGGAGAAGTGTCTGTTGTGCCTGACCAGCGTGGACTTCAGTTACGTGAGGCGATTGAAGCGGGTCTTGTTGACACAAAGTCTGGACTAGTTCGTGATCCGTCTAGTGGCGAGGTGTTGACGTTGTCACAGGCTGTGAACAGTGGTCTTATATCGGGTGAGCGGTCGTTGGTTCGCGATCCTAGTTCCGGACGTCTCGAGAGTCTTGGTAGAGTGATGTTGACAGGTTTGTTGGCGCCTGTAGGTTTGATTGCTCTGGCGATGGAGTCGACGTCCTCGAGACCAGGAGGTGTGGTGTGTGAGTCGACGAGTGCTTCGGAGCCAGTTGTAGATGTTGGTGTGGGCAGGTTGTCTGAGTTGAGATCTGTCGGTGGCACGGGTGATTCATTGTGTGTGGATGAGGTTGGTGCAAGTGTGGTGGACTTGAAGAGCGATCAATTGGAGTCATTTTGTCGCCCGTCGGACATGTTTTTTACGGATCTTAGATTAAATGATATTGATAAAACTTTCTTTGATTATCCTCTCTCGTGGAAATGCGGTTCCACTTCTGTTTCTTTGGTTTCTGGTCGTGATACCAATGAGATTTATCATTATGTAAGTTTTTTATGTAACTCTAGTTTTCGAAGTGTTTGCTTTGTCGTTTGTTATTTTCTGTATTGCGTTTATCGTTTTATAAGCCTTTTCCTTCTCATTGTTATCTGATATTTTGTGTTGGTTTACCTATCTGCATATTCTCTTATTTTCTTGTCTGTTCGTTTCCGTTATATTTTTGTTTTTTAATTTTGTCAATGTTTTCTACTTGTTGTTCTTGCTCCCAATTTTTTCCTTCGTTTTTCTTTAGCAGGGTCTTACATGCTAATTTGTTGAATCGTTTCACATTTTTTAATCTTTATTTTTCTCAGGCCTCATTTTAATCTTTTTATTACGTTTTAGTTATGCATGTATAAGAATGTTTTGTGTTTGATATGGGATTTTCATCGCAACTGAATAGATTTATGATTATTTCATACTGCATTTTAATTTACGTTATATGTATTAATTTCATAATCATTTTCATTCTCTTAATCAAGCTTTTGTATTCAAGTCTGCAATCAATATCATTGTTGCTGTCGTAGGATATAAATTAAAACGGTTTTTCAATGCACCGTTTTTAAATTGCATCTCTGGTTAACCGTGGTTTGTAACAACCACTGTTTTTTCTTTATATCTAAATATCTTTTTTAAATATCAGTGATTTAGAAATCACTGGTAAAGTTTTATTTTATGCTTGTTTAAAGTGAAGAAATATTTCCGTTTTTCTGAATTATTGAATTGTTTTTTGTTTAAAGTTTTATTTGATAGTTTATAGAGAGTTTAAAAATTCATTAATCATTATTGGATTACCTCAGTATAAATGACTTACAACCACTTTGTATTCATTAATATCTAACCTTCATTAAGTGACAAATGTTCTAATTTTTTCATATCCCTCACATGGTACACCTTTAATTATTTGCTGACTGGCGTATATGATGGTGTAAGTTAGACTTTTCACATGGAAACTAACAATACTGATGTATCATATAGATTTGAACTGACTTATATAGTCTTAAAATCAGTTACTCACTTCCTGGTGGCACTAAGATATTTGTTTCTATGATTGATATTCCTCTTCTTTGAAATTTATCATTCTGGATTTCGATTTAAAAGGCATTTTAATATCTAACGCTCTTATGCGATTCTGGTCCTAATTATTCTTGGAGATCTATCCAATACTAATTTTTTGTATTAGTACCTCATCGTATGTTCATTCGTGGGGACTGACGAGTTCATGTTATTCATAGCGTGTGTACATCGTTTGTTGCTGATGGTGGTTATATTGTTTTACTAATCTGAAAAACTATTTACAATTCCTTGTATCTTTTGTGAAGGCGATAACATGACTCGGATAATGAAAGTTGGTAAACGAATCCTAGTTCACTAGCTGAAACCGATACCTCAAATCAGAACAGATTTTACATGAAAAAATTACCGACCAACCGACTAGTTATGTATCATAGGAGTGTTATTAAATGGTGTCATTTAGGAGCAATATTTATGAAATTATTAATCTATACGCTTATTATTATTATTTGATTTTTGCTGTATAAATGATCAAATCCGTCATAAACAAAATATATTTACTACAGAAGTGTGTGTGTTTAACTAGACACTTATATAACCCATCACATTTTGACACCCAAAACGAGAGACATTTAAACAAAATTGAAAAGTGATTGTTTCATTTGTGCTGAACAGAATGATTGCTAATATTCTTAAAGTTGATGAATTCAAAGCACAAAATATTTATACTATTCTATATTGACTGAATAGTATAAGCATACTGATAATATCAAAAAGAACCTAATCTTACAACTTTGCCATTAGTATCTTGGGTAGTAGTTAACACAACTGAGTGTTTTTGGAAAGAAATAGCACTGATATTAATGGTGATACCAATAATAACAATAATAATAATAATAGTTTTACTCATTATTACATAACTCAACACAATCGGGGATTTTCAGTAAAAAATATTAAAATCTCAGCATAAATTCCCTGCTATCTACATTTTAATTTCAGTGATGAGACTGTTATTGTCCGATTAGCTTTACCTACCGCTTTTGTTAATGATTTGAAAATTCAATTCATTTTTTGAATTCGGAAGCACATATATTGCTTATTGCCCTTTCTCATGAATTACATGTCTTTTTGTAGACTTCTTTACCGCTTTTACTGACAACAGTTTTAGAAAAATAATGGTCTATACAAATCAAGTATCACTGAGAAATTGATGTTGACTTTCAAATAAATAATCATCCTGATGTGAATAAAATGTACCGGTCGTTCCATCTAAATAATAACTGGTTAGAAAGTCTAGAAGTGAATAATACTGGTTTTTCACTTTGCTATAATATTTCTGAACTTGCATTGCAAAGATTATTGCTTGTTTGAGGGCTTAAATATCTTCTGACAAAACCCTATCTACTTCACATATATAAACAAAACAAGAACGACAGTATTTTCAGAATACTGTGAATTCGTTATATCATGTCTCTTTCTCTTCAGAAACAAATAAACCAAAAATCTTGTTCACAGTCAATTGGTAATGATTTTAAAAAATTTTCTGTCATGAGTTATTAGTTGTTAGTGTTAATTGGGTGACATTTTTTAATGCACATATCGATTACATAACCATTCGTGAAAGAATCCGGGATACAACTTTCTGTCTTATTAGATAGTCGTCTGTCTTTATTTGGCTTTCTGAAGCCTATATTTCATCAAAAATAATTGTTATTTTCTGTTACAATATATAAGCCCTATTTCGTATTTACTACTACTATCATTATAAGTAACATCGAAATTATATTGTCATACTAAATATTTATCAGCTTTGAATTTGTCATCGTTAAAACAAAAATATTTTCTTCATTGTTTTGTTATACGGAACATAATAAAATTGGCTCGATTATAACATATAAATAATTCTCAATCAAAACTAAATATCTATAGTCTGCAGAATCAGAAACTACAAGAAAGCTTATATCTCAGCTTTCCACTGCTTTGGATGAAGAAACATCATGGATAACTGGTTTAGAATTAAAACTTTTACAAATGGGGAATTTGACTTTAGACGATAATTTAAACCGCCACCTCCTGGATGATCACCAAGTAAGTTTGTACAAATTTTTATATAACTATCATTTTCTATTATGCGTACAGTTGCTCATATGTTTTCACCAATCAAAAAAATATTAGGTTATTCGGTTTTTTTTATTCACAGCTTACTTATAAAAAATAGTTCTTTTTACTGGCTGATTTATTTATATTTATTTGAACACATAAATATTGGTACAAAGAAACATCGAATACATATGCACCACACAAATCACTTGGTTTATGTATAGGCTGTGATACTTTCCGGGTGTCCAGACAGAACCAGCTGATTTTATTAAAGGACCACAAAAGGAGCCTTCAACCTAAACGTCTGATCTACAAAGCAGTGGAGCAACTTCAGAAGATGCAGTCCCATGGTAACCAGTGACAAATTACTGGTCCATACACTATTTGTTCCTTCACGATACTGGAGCCCATGTGCACCATTGGTTTGGAATCAGGGTTTTCAAACTCCCCTAGATGGATCCTCCATATTCACCAACCCTGTTAAAGCACCGGACATTCGCTTTTCGTCCTCTCAATTTCGTAAACAACAATGATGCCACGAGAAGGCAGTGAGTAGGACTTCTCTAACAATGGCTGTATACGCGAGGCCATGTGAGAGCATTTCGAGACAGAGAGAGAGAGAGAGAGCTGACTCACCTCACCCTCGGCCGTACCAGGGCATTTGGAGGCTAATAGTTGAAAAACCACTAGGAAATGACAAATAAAGGGGAATATCAGCAGTAATTAATAATGCTGATTTCTAATCTGCTCTTATATTTAATTATTGTAGGATTTATTTCCACTGGCTTTGTAAATTTTTAAAATCAAATGACAAGATATGCTCAAAAATGTTAAGTAATTGCTCGCAATCAAAAATAATCTCACTCATAAGATAAGCTGATTTCTAAGGTGCAAAACCGTCTTCGTATTTTTAGTTGGGTTTATATGCTTAGTTATTTATTACCTTATATCAACAGTCTCGCTTATTTATTGACGGGGTGATTTACCACAAAGCATAACTATCAGAGTAAGCACCACTCGAGTAAATAACAACACGTAATTCTTAATGTTTTCGTATCTTTGGATCAACTAACTGACAGTTTTGCATGTGTGGTCTTTGCGATAACAATAGCCATTATTTTTAATTATAAACTCTATATACGTATGTTTATTATTGCAGGAAATTTTAAATAAAATTCGTACTCGTCAATCTTCAAGTCGATCTGTATTATTTCAAGCTGAACAAGCTATTGAAACTTTACGTCATACTAACCAACCAGAATCTATCTGGAAACAATTAGAAGTAAAATGTCAAGAACTGCGAACACGTTTAGAAGATGTAAGTTGAGTTTATTATTTCAGTCAATTTCGAATGATATTCTGAGAACAAGGTCAGTTATAGGAAACCATGTTTGTCCATTATCAGTAACACTCTAGACGTCTATTATTCATAAACGCGGGTTTGAATCTCATAGATATCGCATAGATATTCTTCAATATTGTAAATGCGCATTGATGGCAAGTACCAACTAGACTAAGCTTTTCTACTTATTGAATCCAAAAGCCTTACTCAAAACTTATATCGCATGTGATATTGAGTCACATGGATTAAGGACCAGATTTCAATTTGATCTCTAAAATTCAACCAACACAATAGTCTAAATAGCTATGACATTAGTTACTATTCTATGAGTAATCAGTGTAATAAAATATTATCCAAGTTTAATGTATATTTTTTCCTTGTTTCTTCTCATTTCAAGCTACAAACTGAAGCTGAGGGTCGAGTTCGAATTTTACTTCATAGTTTAGATTCATTAGAACATCTTACTTATAAATTACAAAGTCTTCGTAATCTATTAGAAAACCTAGATTCTGTTTTACTTGTTAACACACCATCCGTAAATACTACTACTACTACAATTGGAGAAAATCAACTGTCAAATAAACTAAATACAATTAATCATCCAGATGAAATAGATTCATGTATTTTACGAATAAAAGCAGCTTTAAGTGAATCAAATTCATCTCATAATAACGTTATTAGTACATTGCCAAGTGTAAAACAAAAATTCATTGCATCTGTTAATCGTTACGCTGATAGTAAGGTAAGTACAATGTTAATTCATAAATAAAATTATTTAAAAACTCTACTTTAGTTGTGAATGGGTAAGCGATTGAATGGTTAAAGCACTCAATATATTTCAAACATTTCTTCCCATTTATCATTTCTCTAATCATAAGCAAATTAGGTAATTTAGTAAGGGAAATAATAAATTAATAGGATTCGATTAAAATATACACCAGTCCAGGTTGATATAGTTTGTATAATAACAACATGAGGTGATTAACAAGATAAAAAGCTTAAATATGAAATTAATAATACCAATTCTAGTCAAAAACAACCTAATAAGATTCGATTGAAACTAATCATTTAAGTTATTGGATATCAACTCAGTGATTAAGAGATTAAGCTCTAGCTACGAAACCGGAAGATTCTAGATTCAATATCAAATGAAGTTATGGATGAGTATTGCTGACAAATCGTATACTCGAATGAAACAAATATCCAATACTTGCTAATTCTTCACTGATTGTCTAATTAAAATCAATCCATTATTTAAATTCATAATAAAAAGTAGGATTTAAAAATAAATAATTCATATGAAATGATAAAAAAGTGCAAAATTTGCAAAAAAGATAGAGTATACATTTATCTACATCATACAATTCAATTTCAAGTCATATTATTTTAATATAATGTCTATGTTTTCTAGTTATTAATCATGTAATCCATAAGCAAGAAATAGATACTGATAGGTTCTGGGTTCGAATCTCGCAGTGGGCGGGATCATGGATGCTCATTTCTGAACAGTCCCATACTAGGACGAAACGGCCGTCCAGTGCTTCCAGGTTTTCCATGGTGGTCTAGCTTCAATTGTCTCATGATTTCAACTATTGAGATACAATGTAATTTGTTCATCAATTCTACAATATAAACTTCATCTTTTCTTAACTCTCCAACTTTTCATTATTGTTTTCTCTGTTATTTGTTTTTCTAATAATAGAAAACATATAATATCAAATTGAATCATTTCACTGGCTTAAATTGTAAACAATATGAAGATAAAATTCAAAGAAATAATATAGAATTAGAAGATAGAATAGAATATACAGTAAAAGAAGCAAATAATCGTCTTTTACATTTAATTGGTCGTTTAGAAATTCAATCAACATATCTTACAGAAATTAATATTCTATATAAACAATATGAAAAACATTTATCTGAATCAATTCATCAATTAGATAAAACTAAATTACAATTGAATATAATACAAAAAAGTCTTCTTCGATCTGATGAATTAAATACTTTAACAATGAATAAAATTAAAAGACTTAGTCAAGAACGATTAACTAAATTATATACATTACAAGGTGATCTTAATAAAACTGAAAATGATTTAAAAGTAAGATTTATAAGTCAATCATTTATGTGGTAGTAAATTTATTTTATTTTATTTTATAATCTTATTATTACAATC